TAATGGATTAATTTTTAAAGAAAAATAAATACAATAAATGTATAGAATATATCTTTAAACACCTTGCTTGGTTTTGACCTTTTTTTTGGTTTAGGTTTTTGTGGTGGAACTGGTGATTTTGCAAGCTTAATTAACCATCTTAATTTAAATATTTCTTTGAGTGTTTGATCAGTTGCACCAAATTGACGAAATATTTTCTTGTGATTGTCAGAATTAATTGCTTTTAAATTTATATTATTTAGTAAATTTTCACAGATGTTTGTCAATCTCTATTTTATAATAAAATTATAAATTAACATTATATTGATAGGAATTTTATTAAAAAGAATAATCATTAAATTTTTTTAAAAATAAATTATTACAGTATCTCTTAATTTTCTTATATCCGCTACAAGTAATTCAATTGAACTTTCAGAGTGATATTTTTTCCAATAGTAATATTCTCTTTTAGAATATTTTGGCATGCTAAAATATATATGAATTGTTTTAAATAAATTCAAAATTAACCAATAATAATAACAATAATAAAGACAAAAAACAAAAAAAAATACTTGCTCAAAAAGTTTCCAAGCGAGTTTTTGATCCAAAATATATTTCTTTATTATTTTGCCAAACATACGATATCTAATTTTTCTGATATTGTCATTATTTCCACTGTTGTTATTGTTTTGATCAATTTGATCAATTTGACTATTTTGACTATTTTGATTGCTATCATTATCATTATAAGATTGATTTCTCTTTATTTCAGCTTCTTCTTCTGATTCGTAAACTTCTGCCTCAAATTCACTAGAATAATCATATAATTCTGGATCACTATCTCCATATGCCTTTCTCATAAAATCAATATGAATTAATTTTTTAAAAAAGCTAATAATATTAGGTATTTAAAATATTTATAAATACTAACTGGCAACAATTCATCATTTTTCATTAATTCCGCATAGCGTGTTAAATAACCGTATTCATCTTGATGCTCTAATATTGTAGCAATTTGTTCGTCAGTAAGAGTCTCACCTTCTCGCAGAGCACGAAAATGAGATGGAATATTGTTTTCTTCTGCACTATAGACAATGACACCCTTATGTTTATTATCATCATCATTATCATCGTTTTGTTGATTGGATTCATTGTGAGTTTCTTCATTGTGAGTTTCTTCATTGAAAGTTTCTTCATTGAGAGTTCCTCCTTCATTGTCGCATTCATCCACTTCAAGTTCTTCTTCATATTGACTTTCCCTTTTTCCTAAAAAGAACAATGAGGTGAATAAAGGACAAACAAATGCTCTCTCAAATAAATAAATAAACGAAATGGAATGAACGAAAAATTATATTTTTTTTTTTTACATAATTTATTCATTACCAATTCCTCCACGTAACGCCTCTTGGTACAACGCCTCCCAACTTTTCTTCGACTCTGCCAACTCAATTTTCTCTTTTTCTAAATCCTCCTTCTCCTCCGTCCATATCTTTTTTTTTCCTTCGTCGTCACCATACTCCTCCCTCCACAATTTTTTCTTCAACTCATCCAACCTCTTTCCCCGCATTTCTTCCCACCGCTCCAACTTCCTCTTTGCTTCTTCGTATTCTCTTTCCGCTTTTTTTTCCATAGTTGCCATTTTGTTTAAAGAAAAAAAATTTTTTCAAGATCGTAACCAGTGTTCGAAATTCAATCGGCGGAATCGGCGCGCGCAGTAAGTTACACAAAATTTTGTGTGCGCAAAATTTTTTAACAAATCTAATGTGCGGATTTTAATATTAATATTAAAAATTAAAAACTTCCTTCCACATAATAATTAACAATAATAATAAATAAATAATCAATTATTAATAAATAATAAAATAATAATTAAAATGATAATTAATAATAATAGATTATTATAAAAATTATTCCGGCTTATATCTCTATAAAAAATAAAATACGGAAAATAAATGTCCAAATATTACATTATTATGAACATTTACATATTTATTATTTTATTTGTATTACATTTTTATTTTTATTCGTATAACGTCGAAATTAGTTAACTTTATTTAGAAATTAGCATCGCGGTTAGAATGTTACGTCACAATTAAAGTGCGATATCGCGGCTAGAATGCTAGATTGCAATGAAGTTGTTACTAATTAATTTAATTGTATAAAAGAAGCTCAAATTTGACTTGCTTGTAAAATAACTTTAACATTGTAATAAAGTTTTAAAGTTAACTTAGTAATAAGTTAATAAATTAGTTTTGACTAAATAAAATGTTTTTCTTAAATCACTAAACCAAAATTATTCACTAATAAAACTAATTCATTAGTAGCCAATTCATTCTGATTCACATAATCATAAATTTTATATTGTTATCATCAATTAACATGCTCTCCCAAACAATAATTGGTGACAATATTAATGAGAAACTCCCTAATACTAATACTAAGTAGTCATGATAGCTTTCATCAATTACAACCAATTTTTTATATGAAAGTTGTCTTTGAAAATTCATTTTGCATCCTTGCTGCATAGCAATCATCCCCAAGTTCAAGACCTAGATTCTTGGTTATAAACGAAAAATAATGGTCAATATCAAAATTACTATATTTAGAATTCAGTGTGGTACAGTACACTAACTTATTTATATCCATCTTATCCATCTATCTATTCATCTAAAACAAAGAAATAATATTATGAATGTGTCTGGTAATGTTCTATCTCTATTCTAAATTTTCAAATGATTTACTTGTTACAATAAAAAATGGGTGTTGGCATATTTATGAGAAACTATTTTAAATTCAAGCCACATAGTGAATGGGATTTCAAATCTTTCTGTTCTTTTATGAAAATACTTGGATATGATGATTATAGTGAAATAAATATTCATTATAAAAGACAAATAGGAAATATTATAAAAGATGAAAATGAAAGTGACGCCAACAAAAGTGCTGCACAAGAATTTAAAAAAGTTAGTTTTTTTGTTAATATATATATTAATATAATTATACAGTGATGAAAAAAAAAAATCATTCTTATTAATGATGACTGTTGACCCTATTATGGCTTCAATTTGTTGAGAACTGATCCATATTTATGGCTTGGTGACCAACCCATGTTTATGGCTTGGTTATTTACTGAAAAGCAATCAATATAAACATTAAATTTTTTTTAAAGAAAATTACTTAATAGTTTTTATCTAATAATAGAAAAATGTCCTTTTACAATTATCGTCATTTGAACCATCATCACCATCAGCATCTGAATCATCACAAACTGAATCACCATCAACACCAACAAAATCATCATCAATACTAACAGAATCATCATTAACACCAACAGAACCATCATCAACACCAACAGAACCATCATCAACACCTTTATATGATGAAAAAAATGATGATGGATTCACATTATGTGAATTAATCAAAGAAGCACTATCAAAAATTGATTCAAATGCTTTTTTAAATAGCCATGGAAAGTCAAAAGATGGTAAAAAATATTAGAAAGACTTTGGCAGGTCGAATTATATTGTGCATTAAAAGAACATTTGTATGAAAAAGCAAATATTTCATTAAAAGTACAGTGCAGAAGCTCTATAATAGGAACAAATGTTGCCTTTTTTTAAAGGGTGTAGATCACCCAAAAAAAATTTTAA